CTTGTTCACCTTGACCTTGGTCTCCTCGATGCCTCGAATCTGCTCGTCGACAAACCGATTGAAGAGGCCAAGCAACCGGGAATGGAGTTTTTGAAGAGAGTGGATAATAAAGTCCTGGTTGGTGTCATCAAACTCGGAAATAGCCTTCTCAATGGCCAGCAATATTCCAATTCCTTGTCTACATGATAAAGTCAGTCTGTAGTCTTTTGACAAGCGCACAGGAGTCAACTTACAGTGGGTCAGCTCTGATGGCCCAGTCCACAAGGTTTTGCATATCGGTCGGCCAAAACGCGAAAAGTTCGTCCATGATCTGCTCAACTTTCTTGGCCATCGCTCGGTCAGGATCGTGCAGCTGTTTGGAGCCGAAACTGGGTATCCTGCGCTCATCCGGAGCGCCTGACATAACCAGGTCTGGAAAGTCGACCGTCGAAAGCGAGTTAAGATGGAAGAAGTAGACGATAAAATTCTGCTCTTCCGAGATCATATGCAGGGTCTCTTGAAGCGTCCCTCCAAAAGCTTCGAATGGCTCCAGCTTGCCATGTTGCTTTTCCCCTGAGGGAAGCCTGAGACCTGCTGCAGCTCTAATGGTCTTGCCTCGTCGCACTGTGAGTTTGCGCGCTGCCATGGTGATTCCTTCAGACTCCTTCTCCTTCTCTTGGTGAGTAAAAAGGAGTTCCTGCTCCTCTCCACTAGGCTTCCTCGCCGCCTTCTTCCAAGCCAGGTTGTTGTCTCGGAAATCATTTTGGTAAGGGTGTTTGGCCTGCTGTTCATACAGGTTGATGAGCGCGTGCCACTCCCCGGAACTAACTTCCCGAGCGAAGAGGATCACGGCATGATACTGCCACAATTCACGACGGCAGTAGCCACGGGCTTCGCTGTCGAGCTTCAGGGGGTCCTTTTGACCATTGGCAGCCGCATCAATCCTCTTTTGCTCCGCAACCTTGTATGCAATAGCCATGAATTGCTTCAGTCGTTGTAAGAACACACGAGCATGTGTGCGATACTCTTCCTTCTTTTCTTTGATCGCACGCATTTGGCCGATTTCTGTGTCGGCATACACGCCCAGGCTGCCATGGTCTCCAGCCGCATCGGCAAGCCGCCTCTTGTTATGCCAGATGTCAGAATCAATCATCAACATCGCTTTGTACAACGTAGATAGGGCGAGTTCGGTATCTCGGAGGCCATCGGGATTGCTCAATGAAGACTCCTTCAAGGCACGAACGTCGTCCGAGGAAATGGAAAGAGTCTTGAGCAGGTTTTGTAGCTCGTTCTGAAGCAATTTTTGGTTGGCTGTTTGCACCTGTAGACCCTGGGATTGCGTTTCGATATAGGCCACGTCATCGTTGAGAGTCTGTTTACCCCGTTAGCATATAACCGAAGTGGCCGAGGCGATGGAACAGGGCCAGGAAAGGCCTGCAAACTTACGTTGAGCTCATGGGAATACAAGGTAAGGAGATTGTCCAGCTCTTCACACTCCACGATCGTCTTGTCGATAAGTTTTGCAAGTTGATCGATCTTGCCCTCCTGCTGTTCGAGGTTACCAAGCCAGCTGGTAGCCTCTACACGGCCAATCTCTCGGCGGATGTCTGCCTCCAAATCTTCAATTTTCTTTTCGTCTCCTAGTCGTCCGTTCCAGCCTAGGTCAGTCAAGATATCGTCAAAGTCAATGCCACGCCCTTCAAGAACACTAGGGTTGAGTCCGAGCGCTTGACAGTACTTGATAGTGTTATCCTCATGACGCCTGCGGCGACGATCATGGGGCGAAGGAGACACGGATCTCGATCTTTCTGTATCAACTTTTACAGAAGCTCTTGATGTATCTCTTGGCTCTGCGAGTACCTCAGTCGAACCAACCGTAGGTTCTTCGGGCGCAGGTTGAGTCACTTCAACTGCGGGTGGCTCCATCCTGGGGGGTTCGGCAGGAGGCTGCACAGCTGGCGCTGCTGGCGGTGCCAGTGGCGCTGGCGGTTGCACCTCCTTCTCAGGGGATGAAGATACAACTGGGGGAGTCTCTGCTTCCGGTGTCGCAGGAGAAGTCACCGTATTCTCGCTGTTAGTCCGAAGCAAGAACGGAGCAGGCACCACGCTGGTAATCCCATCCGGCTCATCAGCGGCAGCCTTCTGCTTTTTCGCAGCTGCTAGAAGCCTCTCACCAGCACCACCAGGCCTCGGCTTGAAGGCCCCATGAGCAGTGGCAGCTTTGCGGAATGCGCTTGCAACATCCTTAGTCTGCTTCTTCTTGATCATCGGGCCAAGCCCAGGACGGTGTGCATCGGGATCATTTTCTTCCACAGGCTCAGTGGCCTCCAGATCACTAGGAGGCGGTGGTACTGCAGCTGCAGCAGTCTCTGCTATCGGCTGAATCGGCTCTGGATCCTTTGTCAAATCTGGCAGTGTCGGAGCTGTGGGCACCGGCGCCTCAGCAGACTCGACGGTTGGTGGGGGTTTGCTAAATCCTGAAGAGCCTGGCGTGAGTGCTGCTGGAACCTCGACGGCGGGGGTACTGATGGAATTGCTCGGGGGCTCAGGCTCCTGTCGCTCTGCTCGTGCGGGCGAGCCAATGGGCTTTTCGGCTGCCTCCCTCAAGGGCGATCTGGGGCCCACGCTGCTACCCGGACTATGCATGAAAGTGAGATTTTCTCCAGAAACCGACCCAGGTGTAGTCGGACGAAGACCGTCTGTACTGCGGCTGGGATGGAGATCCTGGGTACGAAGCGTAGGTCTGGACTCAGGACCTTTCCGCCCGTCGCGTGAGGATGGTGGTCGGGAGTCAGGGAGGGGACTCCCCGACCTGGCGTCTTCAAAATTGCCATTCGACCGTTCCCGCTGACCGGCAACAGGAGCGGCCTGCAAACTAGAGGGATAGTCCCTATTCCTCGGTTCCGGGGGAGATATTATGGGCACCTTGGGCACTCTGGGATCCGCGGCAAGACGTTCGGCTGCACGAGGAGGTGGCTGTTCGCGCTGGTCAGGAGGCATTGGCGGGGCGTGTTGAGGCGGACTAAACGGAGGAGTACCGCTTTTACCAGACTGGCCAGTAGACGGTCTCCCCATCTGATCACGACTTCTTTGCGCTCGTAGGGCATGTTCCTCAGATGGTGGTGGCGGTGGTCGTCGTGGTCCATCGCGACTGGGCGCACGGCTAGAATACGGCGACTGAGGCCGGCTGCCTTGTGAAGAGGGAGGCCGCGGGGGAGGCAGGGTCACATCGGGACGCGGAGGACCAGGAGGAGGGCCTTTCGGAGCTGGCGGACCTGCAGCTGATGCACCAGCAAGCAGCTGTCGTTCACGCTCATCGAAGCCGATCAGGGTCGGTACCTTGCCGCCAGTGTATTTTCTGTAGATCTTAACGAGGCTGCCTATGAAAAAATCCTTCTCTTTGGAGGTCCGTGCATGCCAGTAATAAGGCTTTCCAACAGTGACGATGAATCCAACATTGGCAGCCCACTGCTTGTGTTGTTGTTCTAACGGCGTGCTCGGGACCAAGGCGTTGTAAGACTGGATGGAGGAGAGGTCATCCAACATCCATGTCTTGCCGATAGAGAACGAGCCATCATTGTTCTCGCGCGCCTTGTGCATGCGCACTCTTCCTGACCGTCTCACAGCGACAATGATCACACGAGGTTTCTTGTTCTCGGGCGGCGAATTGGGTGGAGCGGGGGTGGACGGGTATGCCGCATCTTCCAAAATGCGGACATGTGTTATGTAGGACTCGACCACTAAAAGGAAGGAGTAAGGGAAATAAGTCAACCGGACACCTTTTTAGGAGAGGAGCGCGAGAGAAATGTTCATACACGAGCCATCGCTGTCTTTCTTGCCAAAACAGCTATGAATGATCCGCCGCTTCTCATCCTCGAATTTCTCGGCCCTCGACATCGAGGCATCCCCGGGGCCGGCGTTACCGCCATTGCGACTATCACCAGCTCGACGAGGATCTCTTTGAGGGGGCATCTCGCCGGGCGGGGGACCCCGCATGCGGTCACGACTACTCATGGTTGCTAATCGATCTCCGAAAGCCTGGATCACTCAGGAGGTGTTCGGGGATCAAATGGACATGATCGGGAAGACGGGGGCAGGGATCACACGGGGCGCGCGCCGTGGGCGAGGACTGGGATGGTCAGTCAATCGATAGGCTCCAACGAGCAAGATCGTGATTCATTCAAAAAGCAAGTAGATCGGTAGAAGGCGACGCCATACACGATTTGGCGCAGAAACGAGTTTCAAAACCGACGGAAGGTGGAGGAGGAGGAGGGAACCAGAGAGGTGGGATTAGGTCATTCCTTAGCCACTAAGCTACCGTTAACTTGGGAGGGTGTGAGAGCATGGGCTGGCGGCTGCGGATACGGCACGGAACTTTAGTCTCGGCGGAGGTGGCAGTGGTTACGATGCAATTGTAGACACACTCCTCATTAGGGTCGATGATGCGAAAAGGAGGGCTAGCTGTATGCTAGGATTATTGACAGTAGTTCTGCAATTAGGTGAGTTACAGAGGTTGCTCCTGAGTAGATCCCCTATATGCCATCCGACAACTTTTGAGCTCGTACAACATAATTATGTAAGCACATAGAGGCGTTTGCATTAAGCGGGCACGATCCACTCCGGTTGCCTGTGCATAAGCAACTGTCTAACTGTCATGCAGGGTGGCCGAGTCCAATTATTTTGGGTCCAGTTTAACCTCACTTCTCGTCTTGGGAAATCAATTGGGAGAATTACCCAGCCGCAGTACTGACTATAAAAGCGCCTCGTATATAGGTATCTAACATACTAACGTCTAAATTTGCGCACGATAGGCTGATTCGGTTTATTGGAACCTTGAGCTTACTATAAACTAATACTAACTTCTTGTGCAACTGGGGGTGAGAAAAAAATCATAGCTACTACTATATTGATTATAGCAAGTACAGGAGATCAGATATCACTTCAAATTTGTCATATAAATTGATTCTCTAACAACAGGCTGGTATTGTACAGTCTCCCTTACACAGCTCATTTACTCTATTTCACTCATCAGGAACTCGTGCTATCCCAGTCTGTCCGCCATGAGGAAATTCAATGACCTATGGTTGAGCAACAAAGTAGATTGTCAGCGGAATTAGCCCACTACATGAATGGGGAAGGAACAATGGAGCACATACCGGCCCGGTGAACGTCCTCCTCTTTCCTCCCCACCACCCAAGAGCAATCAGAGCAACGAACCCTGCGAGTACTACACTCACATAATTCATGTCGTGTACCGTGGTCGGTAATTTAAGAGGAAGACAAAAGAACACCAATATGACTGCCACCCAGAGAACAGCAACTGCATTGCAGAAGGGTCCGAAATACTTTCCCAGTGAGAAAGCTCTTCTCGAAAGCACGGCTTCACGTCCACGAAGCAGCACGATTCCTTGCGGGATAACATAGCATATGTTAAGTGCAATAATGACTATCGATATAAGGCTGTTGAATGCTGATGCTGAGCCAATGTATATCAGCCCGTATAGACAGATGAACACACAACAACCCAGTGTGGCGTTCAGCGGCATCTCGTTCGTGATCTTAACGAAGAATGACGAGTAGGGAAGACCACCGGCTCGGGCGAACGTGTATGCAAGTCGTCCCGCTGTCAGTATACAAGAAAATTCGGCTGCGCAATAGAAGAATATAACCGATGCAGTGAAAAGTGTGGCCACGGGTGAACTGGATGTTGCTTGTAAGTAAGCCGTATAGATGGGTATTGAAGAAGACGCAACGGCATTAATATCGGTTGTGCAGAAAAGAATGGTTATTGAGTATGGAATACAGGTTACCATGCCAGTCAGCACGGTAGACATCATCGCCAGGGGGATATTGCGACCTGGCTCTGGGACTTCCTTTTTGATGACCAACCGTTAACAGCGAGCTGAAGAACGCAGCCACATGGCAGTAGAAAAACTCACATCGGCTATATGGGTAATACTATCGACTGTTATGTATGCGTACATGCAAGTCCCAGCTCCTATCATGAAGGCCGTCCCGTCACTCCAGCCTGTATGATTTTCATAGGCAAAGAATACAGTGTGCGCGGACTGTTTGTGACCTTGCATTGCTAACACAGTTATGAAACTGGCGCTGAAGGTGAGCAAGCTGAAGGTGAGGATAGAGTCTTCTATTAAGGGAACAACACGAGGCAAAAAACACACAACCATTGTTGAGAGGAGAACGATTAGAAGATATATGAGATAGATTCGCCAGGCAGCTTCTGTGAAGCTTGGATGGTGGACAGTCACCAGACCACTGATCATTTGTGCTTCTCAACAGATTATTCACAGATCATACCTAGAAGAATTATGCGAAAGAAGGAGGGACGACTTACCACAGACTATTCCATTAGATGTAGACACCGTGCACCAGGATATCATAGTCAACCAGCCAACAACGAAGGAAACCACGGCACGGTGCTTGGGCGCCGAAGCCATGAAAGCAAAATGGAATGGCCCTCCGCTAGTGGCAAATGCAGACGCCAACTCCGCAAGGCCAGCAGCTATGGACGGACAGGATATTAATGCCTTTCTCATGAATAAGGCAGGACGTGCTTACTGATAAAACAACAAGCTATCGAAGCAACAACAAGGCCAAAGAAAGCCGTTGGGCTCCCTCCCATCACCAAAGGTATCGATAGGATACCCGCGTAACCAGCCCATGAGTTGGTAATGCTGTATCCCAAGGCCAAGGTTGACAAAAAAGAGAATTGACGAGGAAGTTCGGCACGGGCAGTGCCAGGGCTCTCGATATCAGACATCTCGGCAGCTGCGTTCTGAACCCCAATGGAGAAGAATCAGCAAAGACATCTTTCGTGTCATGATATAGGCAGAACCTAAGGAACACCACATGACTAAATAGATCGTAAGTATACATATAAGGTTCAGTTTAAGTTAGAATAATGACTAGTTACAGGTAATGCACTTACCCGTGGTACGCAACCCGAACTGCAGAGGCAGTTGTCCACCTGCTAACGAACAAAACGGAGGTTATTATGTTCGAAGCATTGAAACTGCCTGCACATCACAGTAAAGATCTTTGAACAGAATGTGGCAATGATTGACGTGTTTAATGTATTACGTTTGGGTTCGTCGCACGGACAGGCATGCAGCTTACTTTGCCTGCGTATTCCCTATTCCCTTATTGGGAACCGCAAACAGACTGAAGATAAGCCTCCACTAGTTCCTTATAACACGGAGTTCCTAAAGATTTTGGTCATTGTCTTCACGCGGGAATAGAAAATCTCCGAAGTCGCACCTCGGAGCTTACCGTCTAGCGCACGTGTACTGTGTGGTGAAATTAACTTCGCATTGTCGCACATTACATCGATGTACCTTAGTGTTGATTGAATGGAATCCAGTCAAATTACGTTCATAGTAAGGGTAATATAAGAGGAAAGATTTATTGGAATAGTCAAAGCGTAGACACTGAGATCCGAGAAGCAAGTATCAGATTACAACCCCAACACCAATAGTGAAACTAGAAGACAAACCAAGCCCAACACACATATAGACTAATCCGTCAACGAGAACCGCGCGACTTCTTCTTTCGTAGAGGCAACATTCCTTACAGTCCAATCCCACAAGTCATCCTGCTTGCTCAAATCATTACTCTCCTCACTCGAACAGATCTGCTCCCTCCCCTCATAATAAACCCCACTACTCGACGAATTCTCCTTACCACTGGCCAGCCAAGCCAACGTAGCCCCCGACACCTGCGGCGACTTGATATTCGGTGTTCCCAGCAACACACGCAGAAGCGGAATGACGCGAGGGAGAATCACATGCCAGAGAAAGCGCACGACTGGGTTCGCTTCACGGACCAGCCCAGTCCCAGGCATGAGACCAGGATCAAACGCAACAACGGTCCACGAATTAAGCCTTGCATCTTTCGACTCATTGAGATGCCGATGCAGCGCGTACACCCAAAGAACATTGGCAAGCTTGCTGGTTGAGTAACGCTGGCGGCCGGGATTCTGGGCTGTGCTTTTGGTCGGGTGAGCGAGCTCCTCCGCACTGGTATACTTTGCATCGGGGAGGCCGGTCTTTTGTAGGGGATCGTGCGTGCCGCTGGAGGTAACTACTATCCTTGCGGTGTGAGCGAGGTGGGGGACCAACAGCGAGAATAATAGAGCGTGGCCGATGTGGTTGATCGCGAAGGTTTTTTCGTATCCGTTTACTGTGTATTCGACAGGTCCGGGGAACTGTAGACCTGCGTTGAGGTGGAGGTACTGGATGGGAGGGTAGTTGTTGGTTTCCCATTGTTGGACGAAGGATCGGATCTGGGATAGGTCGGAGAGGTCGAGTCGGAGGTAGTTGACGTTGTTTTGGCCTAGGAGTTTGTTGATAGAGCCGGTGGCATCTTGAGAATCGGATCGAGATGCGATTATTACTTGATAATTGGGGAACTGGCGCGCGAGTTCTATGGTGCAGTAGTAGCCTAGACCGGCGGTACCTCCGGTGATGAGGATACTGCGTGAATAGGACATGATTGTGGATAGCAGGGATGAATTTGGTCTCTTTTCGTGACAAGGCGGGCTGAAGCCATATTTATGTCCCAATATCTCGGTTTTAGGAACGGAGATATGCAATTCACGCCATTAGAACTATGATCCTTCTAGGGTTGGATGAGGCAGCAATGTTCCGCTTCGGGAATAGCGGGAACGGCACCGTCGATATCTCGAGGCGCCAATCTGGGCCGGCCAGTCATCTATAAGAAGGCTGTCAATGAAAGGATCCAGAGAAAATCGACGCTGCCGTTCCATGCTAGTTTCTCGTGACAGCTGTGGCCGAGATGGGCTTGGATGCAAACATTGTATCTCCGTCTCAGCCGGATGACCCTGACCCGTCCCAGCTGCTGCACTATCTTCCGGATTACGAGGTTGTCATTTGCAGTACCTGCCGATATGCCGTCCAGCCACATGGGATCTTGCGTCATCTGAAAGAGATTCATCGAATCCTCCGTGGCCGCCGGCGGAAGTATTCTCATTACGTTGCCAGCTTGTGCCTTAGAGAGCCAAACGACGTCGTACCTCCCAGTGGTGCTGATCAGTTTCCGGTCCCACACCTACCGGTCGAGCCCGGTCTTCGATGCCAGGCAGCTGGCTGCATGTATCTATGTGCTTCTAACAAGCGCATGCAGTCCCACTGGAGGACTGTGCATGGACGAAAAGGCGATTGGACCACAGACTGGCGTCCGGTTCCCCTGCAGACTTTCTTCCGTGGCAATCACCTACGGTATTTCACTTCTGTGGGCGCAAAGTCGAATAATGATTTGCCGTACTCTGTCTTCGTGCCACTCACACCAGAGCTATTAGGAGAAAAGCTCCACGCAGGCCTGGACTCCATGGATTCTGCCCTTCTGGACCACTACCTTCAACACACATACCATAGTTTCGCCACCAACGAAGAAACAGATAAGATATGGAGCTCGATTGTCCCGGGGCTAGCACATCAGAATGTGTTCCTTCTGCATGGCCTGCTAGCCTGCACAAGCTTGCACAGAGCACACATGAGCTCTGGGCATGCGGACCAGGAAAAGGCATTTCTTCTAAGAGCCTACCACCATCAGGGCATTGCTCTCCCGCAGTTTCGGTACGCTATCAAGCATCCTACGGCGGACAATTGCCATGCCATTCTGGTATTTGCATATCTGCTAGTGGTATATTCTTTTGCCGCTGATCAACCTGGGTGCTCAGTCTCAAACTTGAGCGAGGACTCGTTGCTTCTGGTGGATCGGAATGATGGCGAAGGCACCGAGCCTGATAGCATTCTTTGCAACTGGCTATACTTTCTCCGCGCTGGTTGCTCTATGCTGTGTGAGGTATGGGAGCAGTTGAACGAGGGACCCGTCAGAGCACTTTCGGAGGCCTGGGACATTGATTTGGGTTACGACCCAGAACCCTCATATTTGACACTTCTCTTGTCAGTGATCCCAAATAAAGCAACCGCCACACAAAGCACTGGCGATACAAATGAGACGACTCTCGTTTGGCCTGAAGATGTGACAGCCATTTATCAAGAGGCTGCCATTGTTTTGTGCCGATCATTTGCGTACGTGCGTGCCCACCGCGGACTACTTACTACCTGGGACGTTCTCCGCATATGGCCCATGGAAGTGTCGCTAGGATACATGGCTCTTCTCCACCAACGGCACCCTGGCGCACTTATATTGCTAGCGTACTATTGTGTCCTGTTGAAGCAGATGGAGAGACACTGGTACTTCGAAGGGCGCGCGGCAATGCTAATTCGCGCCATTCAGAGACACTTGAAGCCGGAGTGGCATAGTTGTATCCGGGAGCCATTGTATATGGTTGTAGGAGTACCTGATGGTGGCCATTTCCTTGAGAAGATTTAGCTATCTCTACAGGCAATTCGGGGAGCATTCCGTGTCGGACAACGTAGTAGTTTCGGTATTACTTCCACCAGCGGATTATACCGTTCACAGGATGAGCCGCTGAGGAGCCGTATGGAAGGTTAACACATCAGGATTTACCCTCCCGGCGAGTCAATACATCGACTCGACTTTGACTTCATTATCAATGAGTATACTTGAGAGATACAATCCAGCCTTTGGTCCAGAATCTCCAGTGCCTGGCACGTGACCGTATTGTCTCATGGAACCATAATCACGTGAGCCCCACGTAAAAAGTCAGCCGAGCAATCACGGACCGCGCCCGACTGACCGCCTTTGATGCCTTTGTGCTGTTTTTTCCTTCCTTTTTTTTTTCTGCCTCGCCGATAAAGGGAAACTTGAAAACATCCAAGTCAATCTTTTCATTTTCACAGTTTGCAGTGTTTGTGCCAGACAATCATCATGGCCGGTCAGAAATCCAAGCAGGCGAAGCCCGCCAAGGTGTCCAAGAGCAAGGAGACTGTAAGGCAAACCGACCGACATTCTTACTGTATAGATAGGCAATACTGACCAAGTTCATGAATCAACCAGCCTGCTCCTCCCGCTCAACTCGTCGCCGCGATCAGCGCTTTCCTGAGCGAATCTGGTCTGTCCAAGACCAAGGACGCTTTCACCAAAGAACTCTCCAGCAAGTCGATCGACTCTGATGCGAAGAACGTGCCGTCCCTGCTCGAACTCTACCAGTCCTGGGAAAAGTCCTCCGAGAAGTCCTCCGGTTCTAGCTCTTCGGACAGCGAGAGCGACAGTGAGAGTGAGAGTGGAAGCGAGAGCGATAGCGAGAGCAGTGATAGCAGCTCCGATGAGTCCAGCGATTCTGATGTCGAGATGAACGACAAGTCCGAGTCCGACAGCGACAGTGACAGCGACTCCGATGAGGAGGATGAGAAGAAGAAGCCCGCTGCCCCTGCTGCCAAGTCCCAGGGCACCAAGCGCAAGGCCGAGTCCAGCTCCTCCGAGTCTGATTCCGAATCTGAGTCTGATGAGGCCCCGAAGTCGAAGAAGACCAAGGTGACTTCCGCCAAGGAGGAGTCTTCTGACTCGGACTCCTCTGACTCTGAATCCGACTCTTCCTCTTCCTCTTCCGAGTCTGAAGTGTCCTCCGACTCCGACTCCTCTAGCGATGACTCCAGCTCCTCTTCTGAGTCTGATTCGGACTCTGACTCTTCCTCCGACGAGGACGACAAGAAGGCCGACAAGAAGGCCCTGAAGGCTGCTACCAAGACCCCTCTGCCTCCGTCCGACTCTAGCTCCAGCGGCTCTTCCTCGTCTTCTTCCTCCGACTCCGACACCACTGGAACCGTCAGCAACTCCGACTCTGCCGCCAAAGAGCAGTCCCAGTCTGCCCAGACTTCCGCATCTAGCAGCGCCAGCCCTGCTCCCGGCAACGCCCCCCAGAAGAAGAAGCACACCGGTGCTCGCCCCACTCCTCTGGCGCAGCTGAGCGAGGGTCCCACTGACCACTACCTCTCGAACGACTACGTTCCCTACGCCTACGCCGAGAAGGCCTGGCAGGATCTGTCGGTCACCCGCGGCAAGGGCTTTACCAAGGAGAAGAACAAGAAGAAGCGCGGCTCTTACCGTGGTGGTCCCATCGACATCTCGGGCGGCAAGTCTTTCAAGTTCGATGACTAGATCCGCGATACTATCTTAGAGATGGAGACCAGTCTTGCCTCTTAATATAGGGGGCCACTCATGCATACCTACAGCTTTTACATGCTCGAAACAAAATGGGTATTCAAAAAGTTCTATTCGCTTATGATTCCATCCATATAGATCTATATGCAGCCTAGATGGGTCATTGAATCATTTTCTACAGCAAGGCGCTACTGGAGCCCGGTCGGATTGCTTTTCTTGCAGCTTTTCTTTTTGCTTTTTGCTTCACGCTTCTTCACCTGTATGTACTATCTACTTGCATCATCTAGATCTTTAGAGATGTCATAAACATGTATTCAGATATCCTTGCTTTTCACTTTTAACCCTAGCCTTTGAAGTAATCGTACATGCTGGCAGGTCGTTAATACCCTTTTGCTAAGCTCAACTCAAATTTATCCATGCATCCTGCCATTAAATCAGTTCCCAAATCCAGCTGAAGGACCCGTAACCAGTCCAAATGCATAGCTCACGCGGATCTAGTTAAACCAGTCCCCTTTTGAAACGTCTCCAAACAACCCAACAACGGTAAACAACATTCAGTACACACATTACACCATAGACAAGCCCTATTGTCCCTTCCTCTCACGTTTTACCCAACATCCTCTCCATACCACCAACTACTCAACCAAATCATCAACCCGTCTCCACGACCCGGACTTCTCCAACCTCTCCCACCTCCGATCCCACCCCGTAACCTCCTCCGCAAGACGATCCTCCACCCCGACGGACCCAAACGGCTGCTGCTTGCGCAGAGTAATAGAAGATGTGGTATCCTCAGGGCGCTCGTAGCCCGATAACTCAAGAACTTTATCCGCGGCACGGGTGTGCGCAACAGTGCTGTCGAGACCTACGTCGGTAGAGAGCAGGAGTGGCTCCCGGTACCAGTTCTGACAAGGGCCGAGGAGATCATCCGTAGAGGCGAAGTCAAGGCGAACGACGCCGTCCGCGACACCGGTGTAGATGGTTGGTGAAGAGGGGGAGGGCGAACTCATGCTGTAGATTGCGCCGCGGTAGGAACGGGTGTTGTGGCGGCGACGGCCTTGGGTGCGGCTAGATGGTGGGTGGGCGGAGAGGAAGATGGAGATGTCTTTGCGAGGAAAGGTGATGCTATTGTTGGTGGGGGTGAGGGAGAGGTTTGAGAGGCTGTTTACGATTCGTTCGCTGTTGTTGGGAACGGTTGGGGAAGGACGTGCATCGTGGTAGCTGTATGTTTCGTTCTTTGGCATACGCAGGTCAAAGATCTTGACTAGAGCGTCACCGCCGGAGCCGACGACGAAGCGGTCGTGTCCGAAGGGGTGGATGCAGTATATGGGGTTTTGGTCTGTGGTATCACGGTAAACCTTTTCGTATTCGTCGTTTGAACGGAGGTCGTGCAGTCTGAGCGAGTTAGCATAAGGGTGAAATGATGGGAGTAGAGGTGATTGTACCTGACGGCTCTATCGCCCCAGGCTGCGAGGAAGACTTGGCCGGTGGGATCTAGGGGAGAAATGGCGTTGACATTGGGTCTGATGGACCTATGGAGATTGACTCGCTCGAAGTCCACTAACTCCGCATCGAGCTCACGAATGGGTGATAGACCTTGCGGTGTAATGGTGGAGATAATCACCGCTTCGTGGGCGCTTCCTGTGCCGACTGCGAAGAGGGTAGGTGAAAGGAACTTGTGGTACGTGTGGCGAGAACTTATGCTTGAATCGTCGCCAGTGTCGGCATTGAGACGAGCGAATGGCCGGACTATCTCTTCTCCCGAAGTGGTAGTGAAGAAAGATATCGACCCGTCGCTCAAGTGGGCAGATAAGACTGGGTCCTCTCCGTCACTCATATCTGTTCGCTCGATGCCTTGTCCGGAGGTCAAGAACCGCTGCTTGTATACATGAGACGCGCTATTAGGGTCGATAGAGAGATGGAAAAGCTCTCCGCGCACTCGCGCAACGACTATATGTTCAGTCTCGGGGTCCTTGGAAGGGTGTTCAGGACGTAGAAGATGGACACCACATATGTCATCATGGCTGCTGATGTCGTCGAGATCGTTGAAGACAACCCATTTCCCCTTCGTATTGGGGCCAGGTTCGGTGATGCGCAGAACTAATTCGTCTGCCGCGCCCCATGCAAGCACCTCCTTTCGATCATTCCACGAAGGGCTATTCCAGACTTCATACGAGTCCAGAGCAGGACGATATCCATGAGTAGGGTTGTCCCCTCGTGTGGAACTATGGGATCCGACCTTGACTGCTTCTGCGGCTGGTACGACGAATCTTCCGACAACTGCATGTTTGTCTAATGCTCTTGACCGAGATGTGAGTGCCTGGGCTGCTTCTCTCCAAATTTCGGGAGTTTCCACTCCAGGGAACTTGGTCTCAACAAAGGTTCTAAATATGCGCCAGTTTTGAGCAGCGACAACATGTCGCAAACGCCAACAGGTCATTGATAGGTTTACCAACGCGCTGGCAGATGGCAAATAGCTTGCAATAAGCTGTATAATTTCTGGAGGAAGCTGGGCAAGCATGTTGAGGGTCAGGATGTCAGATTAAGAATGTCTTATATGCTCAAGTAGATGATTCACAGGGATGACGTAAAAATCTCTGGCGTCACACGTGTCAGTTAAGTGAGTTGCTAAGATTCACGAGAATGTAGAGGAAGATTCACACATTTAGTGATCTAAACAACAACAAGGGAATGCTCTAGGAAAGGCAAGGTGGTGGTGGTGGTGGCATGAAGGATTCGCCATGGCGATTCAAGACATTGTGCGCCCCGTCCGATCTATCGCCGCGGTAATCTGCAGAGTGCGTGAGGCCATCAACGTGACCTGTGTATCAACATTCTTTGTTGCATATATGTTCGCTAAGCCTGGGAATAGGCCAGTGAAAAGTTGACACCCCAAATATGAATTCAAGATGCTATGCTGTGGTAGATGGCACAGAATATTTGATGTGGATGGTGGAGGAACAGTGGCTGGAGAGCCTTATGTCATCCGGTACTTATCTTATCGGCTCCTCGGCTCTTCCTTTGGTACTTATCGGCAATCCAGACTTTCTGAGTGGTGGAAGCCAATTATCTTCATGAGGAGTTGGAGAAGCTGGAGATAGACGATGTTACCCCATCATTCGGTGACTCAGGCTCTTCGGCTATATATCTGGGCCTATCCAGGGCTTCGGTATGCCTCTTCCATGTATTTTGGTGCTTGTTCCTTCTCTGCGTGGCGTACACCTCTACCCTAATCTTGTGGCTCATTTATAGTAGCTCTTTATTGACCATTTGCCCGGTACGCCAGGCATTGGGCTTGCGGAGTTGTCCGAAACTTACTTTGTTGCTCATATGACATCTTGTGGATTTCGCAATTTTTCAGCTCGGCGTTGAGGAGAATTACATCTTCCACTTGTGCATCAGCTCAAACATCTATATACTGAAGCACCAGGCAACATGGCGGTCTCTGCCGTTACTCTCGCGGCAACCAGCTTTTGTATCCTAATACTGGCCTATAAACTGATTATATACCCCGTCTTTCTCTCCCCATTGTCCAAGATACCCAATGCACACTGGTCAGCTCCAATCTCTCCAGCATGGATTATCTGGAGACGGTATAGGGCACAGAATAACAGGACCATTCAATCTGCACATGAAAGACTAGGACCTATCGTCCGGCTTGCACCATCGGAAGTCTCCGTCAACTGCGTCGATGGGGGCATCAAGTCTATCTACACGGGTGGGTATGAGAAACACGAATGGTACCCTCGTGTCTTTGGCTCTTTTGGGTAAGCGTAGCCCCTACAGCGACTGCATGCGACTAACTTTACTGACATGTATAATCTGCACAATGGTAGAACCGTTAGCATGTTCACCATGACAAACAACAAATCCCACTCCACCCGCAAAAGGATGCTGTCCAACATATACAGCAAGTCATTCTTGCAATCATCACCCCATATCCACCTCATCTCCGAGACAATCCTGCTCGATCGCCTCCTCCCCATCATCCAGGATGCCGCCTCCTCAGGCTCGCCCATTGAAATGCACGACCTGGACCAGGGCATCACAATGGACTTCGTCTCCGCCTACCTATACGGCCTAGCCAACGGGACCAACTTCCTTCAAGACGAAGCTTTCCGCCGCAAGACTCTCCGCCTTTACCAAAGCAGGAAGCCCTTCGAATTCTATCACCAAGAAGTCCCCAACCTCGTATCATGGACCAAGCGACTCGGCCTTCGCTTAATCCCCAAATGGTGCGACGAAGCCAACGAAGTCCTCGACGCCTGGGGTCTATCCTTCTGCGACAAAGCAGACGAATGCCTCACCTCGACCCAGCTCAACACAGAACCCATGGTCTACAAGCAACTCAAACAAAGCATATCCAAACAACTCCCGCCCAAAGAATCATCATCCTACCCCAAGCTCATCGAGCAACAACGCTTCGACATTGCCTGCGAACTCTACGACCACCTCACAGCCGGCCACGAAACCAGCGCCGTAGCCCTGACCTACCTCTTCTGGGAACTCTCCAAGCACCCGGACCTCCAGTCCTCTCTCCGCAAGGAGCTTCACACCCTAGAACCTAAGATCCTGTACCCCCGTCCATCATCCTCTCGAGACCTCCCCACCCCCAAATCCATCGACTCTTTACCCCTCCTCGACGCCATCGTAACAGAGACCCTACGCCTGCATGCGCCAATCCCCGGTATCCAGCCCCGAGTCACCCCGTCCTCTGGATGCACGCTAGTCGGGTATAGCGATATTCCCGGGAACACGCGGGTCAGTGCGCAGGCGTACTCGCTTCATCGCAACCCGGAGGTCTTTCCGGAGCCGGAGACGTGGCAGCCGAAGCGGTGGCTGAAGGATTGTAATTCGTCGGAGGAGTTGGAGGAACGGAGACGCTGGTTTTGGGCGTTTGGTAGTGGGGGGAGGATGTGTGTGGGAAGTAATTTGGCTTTGCAGGGTATGTATACCTTCATGGAGTGGTTGACGAGATGAAGCTGACCAGTCATTTTACAGAGATGAAATTGGTAGTCGCGGCTATCTATACCAATTATACGACGGCTATAATCGACGATGAGGATATTGAGGCTATTGATGCGTATACGGTTAAGCCGAGGGGGGAGAAGCTGGTCTTGAAGTTTGAGTCTGTTGCCTAGCTCTATGTTTTCTTTCAGGTAGCTATTCTAGTATATTGTTTATGATTTCCTGTACTTCTTCACTATTCTTCTGCAAACTCAGTAGTCAAATCTACAGAGAATTATACGGACCA